TGATTTCGCGGGCAGCGCGCGGCCACTCTGACTCGCCAGACGCAACTTTCACGACTGCATTCGCCAGCCAGTGGCGTAGTGACCACCACGTGGTCAGCGCAGGGGCTGCGGAAATCCGTCAGGTGGGGCCCCAGTGTTTGATTTGTCTCGCATGGTGGCACCTAGGCTATTATACATCCTTTTGCCTAATCGCATCATTAAGCATTTTGAAAACAAATCTTATGGTGGTTGTCAAGGGGGCCCAAACTCGTAGCTTTGGCCACCAGGAGTAGAGGGGGGGGGGCAAGGCGCCCCCTGCCCCCCCGCTCGTTACGCCACTGGTACCCAGGTGAAGCCCACCGAAGTCTCAGCTGCTCATCGCAGCGGCCGATGTCGTCAGCGGCCGATGTCGTCAGCGCACGTGGGAAGTGATCGCATCAGCCGATTCATCTGAGCGGGCGTCGATTCTCAATGTGGAGGAGAAGGGCAAAGCCGGAGAAGCCCGGAGAGCGATTCTCACGACCACCACGGGGAGAGAGAGAGAGACCTCGCGGACTCCAAATATAGAGGGGTCAGGGGTTGGGATCGAACCTGTGACCTCCTGCGCATCAGGCGAGGGAGGTGCACACACAGGCGTGCCGTGTGTACACGTGTTGAGTGACACGTGTACACACAGGCACATGTACACACAGGCGTGCCGCGTGTACACGTGTTGAGTGACATGTGCACACACGGACACGTGCACACACAGGCGTGCCGTGTGTACACGTGTTGAGTGACACGTGTACACACAGGCACGTGTACACACAGGCGTGCCGCGTGTACACGTGTTGAGTGACATGTGCACACACGGACACGTGCACACACAGGCGTGCCGTGTGTGTACACGTGTTGAGTGACACGTGTACACACAGGCACGTGTACACACAGGCGTGCCGCGTGTACACGTGTTGAGTGACACGTGCACACACGGACACGTGCACACACAGGCGTGCCGTGTGAACACGTGTTGAGTGACACGTGCACACACAGGCGTGCCGCGTGCTGCTGTGCGTGCTGCGTGCAGGAGGTGGGTTTCTGGTTCATCTTCCACCACGTGGCCACGGGCCTCTCCGCAGGCTCCTACCCCCCCGGCTACACGGAGCACCTCCCCCTCGGGGAGTTCACGGGAAACCGGGCCCACTCCAACTACCGGGTGATGGGCGTGACCGTGTCTGGGTGTGTGATGGGGTGACCGTGTCTGGGTGTGTGATGGGGTGACGGTGTCTGGGTGTGTCATGGGGGTGACGGTGTCTGGGTGTGTGATGGGGGTGACGGTGTCTGGGTGTGTGATGGGGTGACGGTGTCTGGGTGTGTGATGGGGTGACGGTGTCTGGGTGTGTGATGGGGGTGACGGTGTCTGGGTGTGTGATGGGGTGACGGTGTCTGGGTGTGTGATGGGGTGACGGTGTCTGGGTGTGTGATGGGGTGACGGTGTCTGGGTGTGTGATGGGGTGACGGTGTCTGGGTGTGTGATGGGGGTGACGGTGTCTGGGTGTGTGATGGGGTGACGGTGTCTGGGTGTGTGATGGGGTGACGGTGTCTGGGTGTGTGATGGGGTGACGGTGTCTGGGTGTGTGATGGGGGTGACGGTGTCTGGGTGTGTGATGGGGGTGACGGTGTCTGGGTGTGTGATGGGGGTGACGGTGTCTGGGTGTGTGATGGGGTGATGGTGTCTGGGTGTGTGATGGGGTGACGGTGTCTGGGTGTGTGATGGGGTGACGGTGTCTGGGTGTGTGATGGGGTGACGGTGTGTGGGTGTGTGATGGGCGTGACCGTGTCTGGGTGTGTGATGGGGTGACGGTGTCTGGGTGTGTGATGGGGGTGACGGTGTCTGGGTGTGTGATGGGGTGACGGTGTCTGGGTGTGTGATGGGGTGACGGTGTCTGGGTGTGTGATGGGGTGACGGTGTCTGGGTGTGTGATGGGGTGACGGTGTCTGGGTGTGTGATGGTGTGACGGTGTCTGGGTGTGTGATGGGGGTGACGGTGTCTGGGTGTGTGATGGGGTGACGGTGTCTGGGTGTGTGATGGGGTGACAGTGTCTGGGGTGTGATGGGGGTGACGGTGTCTGGGTGTGTGATGGGGTGACGGTGTCTGGGTGTGTGATGGGGTGACGGTGTCTGGGTGTGTGATGGGGTGACGGTGTCTGGTTGTGTGATGGGGTCACGGTGTCTGGGTGTGTGATGGGGGTGACGGTGTCTGGGTGTGTGATGGGGTGACGGTGTCTGGGTGTGTGATGGGGTGACGGTGTCTGGGTGTGTGATGGGGTGATGGTGTCTGGGTGTGTGATGGGGTGACGGTGTCTGGGTGTGTGATGGGGTGACGGTGTCTGGGTGTGTGATGGGGTGACGGTGTCTGGGTGTGTGATGGGGTGACGGTGTCTGGGTGTGTGATGGGGTGACGGTGTCTGGGTGTGTGATGGGGTGATGGTGTCTGGGTGTGTGATGGGGTGACGGTGTCTGGGTGTGTGATGGGGTGACGGTGTCTGGGTGTGTGATGGGGTGACGCTGTCTGGGTGTGTGATGGGGTGACGGTGTCTGGGTGTGTGATGGGGGTGACGGTGTCTGGGTGTGTGATGGAGTAACGGTGTCTGGGTGTGTGATGGGCGTGACGGTGTCTGGGTGTGTGATGGGGTTCTTGGGCTGATTTCTATTGTCGTGGTCGTGACTCCTCGCCCTGCCCACCCCCCCCCCCCCCCCCGCTCTAGGCTGGGATGATCCTCGATCATGGAGTCAAAACAACGGAGCCGAACGAGCGAGACAAGAGGCCCTACCTGAGCATCGTGGGAGCCAGGTACCAGGGGTGGTGGGGCAGCGGGGGGCAGCAGGGGGCATGGGGGTAGCTGATTAGTAGTAGGGGGGGGGCAGGTTAGACGAACACCAATTTGGATGACAATTCCAAAGCAGGAAGTGGGGAAGAACATTGACCTTGTGACCCCACGTGGTGAGATCGTGTGACACCGTGTGACCCCACGTGGTGAGAGCGTGTGACACCGTGTGACCCCACGTGGTGAGAGCGTGTGACACCGTGTGACCCCACGTGGTGTGAGCGTGTGACACCGTGTGACCCCACGTGGTGAGAGCGTGTGACACCGTGTGACCCCACGTGGTGAGAGCGTGTGACACCGTGTGACCCCACGTGGTGAGAGCGTGTGACACCGTGTGACCCCGCGTGGTGAGAGCGTGTGACACCGTGTGACCCCACGTGGTGAGAGCATGTGACACCGTGTGACCCCACGTGGTGAGAGCGTGTGACACCGTGTGACCCCACGTGGTGTGAGCGTGTGACACCGTGTGACCCCGCGTGGTGAGAGCGTGCGACACCTGTGACCCCACGTGGTGAGAGCGTGTGACACCGTGTGACCCCACGTGGTGTGAGCGTGTGACACCGTGTGACCCCACGTGGTGAGAGCGTGTGACACCGTGTGACCCCACGTGGTGTGAGCGTGTGACACCGTGTGACCCCACGTGGTGAGAGCGTGTGACACCGTGTGACCCCACGTGGTGTGAGCGTGTGACACCGTGTGACCCCACGTGGTGAGAGCGTGTGACACCGTGTGACCCCACGTGGTGAGAGCGTGTGACACCGTGTGACCCCACGTGGTGAGAGCGTGTGACCCCGTGTGACCCCACGTGGTGTGAGCGTGTGACACCGTGTGACCCCACGTGGTGAGAGCGTGTGACACCGTGTGACCCCACGTGGTGAGAGCGTGTGACCCCACGTGTGACCCCACGTGGTGAGAGCGTGTGACACCGTGTGACCCCACGTGGTGAGAGCGTGTGACACCGTGTGACCCCACGTGGTGAGAGCGTGTGACACCGTGTGACCCCGCGTGTCACCCAGTTGAGAGTGCGAGCCCTCCCCGACCTCAGGCACGGAAGCGGTGACCCCATGACCCCGCGTGACCCCAGGTACGGACCCCACGAGGACGCGGACCCTCGCAAGCCGCGCGTCCCGGCGCTCATCCAGGGCTTCACCGCTTTCAAGAACCAGCAGCACGGCGCGTGGCTCCGTGGCGGGGACGTCAGGCTCGACCACTGCCAGTGAGGGCCGCGACCCGGTGACCCCGGTGACCCCGGTGACCCCTCTATGACCCTCATGCAGCCCTGCATCCCGCACCACGGGGAGTGATCAGAGAATGCTTCCCTGGCACGCTGCGTGGGGTCTGTGGTGCATCCGCGCATCGTTGCACGTGCGCGGATGTGGGGAGCGGTGACCCGAGTTCGATTCCGACTCGCGAAAAATAAGTGGCGGCGAATATGTGAAACAGTCCTGGCCCTCCCCTAGGTCGACTCGGCCTCAAATAAGTAACTGGTGTGGTTTGTAGACATCGCCGCTTGGGGTGACAAAGGCGGTCGGGGCGTGGTGCTGGCCACCCACCCCCTCGCGTGCCGTGCCAGCCTTGATATGTGTAACTTGCGGACAGCACCTCCCCTACAGTCTGGTAAAGGCTACACGGCGGATCTTTGTCTTTGCTACGTGTGTGCGTCAATCCGCAGCTTGGACATATATTATATCTGATATTATACATTGTTTACTTGCACAGAAAAAGTGAAAGGCAAACTGCAGATAAACAACAGTTAAAATGTGCGCAGATGAGGCTTTAAATTCAAGAGGGCTTCTATGAAAACCACACCCTTAAAAGAACAATGTTTATACAAAACAGATTGTTTAATCAATTAAACAAAGCATACTAATTAAACATGTTAAACTTAGTGTTTAAAAAACACGTTTGTTTTTGTGCGCCCATGCGTGCTTGTGTGTGTGTGTGAAAGTTTGTATTTGTCTTTGGGAGTTAGGCGACATTGGGGAGACTACTGGGTCGTTCTGTTCATCAGGCTGAGCCGTAATCTATGCTGAAAGTGTTTGAGGCCTGATGCTGATGATATTTTGGCTCTGTATCTCATAGAGAATTGACTTTGTGTGGTGCGGCAGTGGGAGGGTGAAAGTTATCCCTTGCAAACTGAGACGCTCCACCTCATGGGATTCTCCACGAGTTTTAATTAAAGGAAATGCCATTGCTGATGACACGATGCTGATGATGATGTTGACGATAATGATGATGATGCTGGTGATGACGATGATGTTGACGATGATGATGACGATGACGATGCTGTTGGTGATGATGTGGTGATGATGGTGTTAATGCTATGATGTTGATGTGGTAATGATGGTGTTAATGCTATGATGTTGATGACGTGATGATGGTGTTCATGCTATGATGCTGATGGTGTTAATGTGGTGATGATGGTGTTAATACTATGATGTTGATGATGTTGATGGGATGATGATGGTGTTGATTCTATAATGTTGATGATTATGATGTGGTGATGATGGCGTTGATGCTATGATGTTGATTATTTTAATGTGGTGATGATGGTGTTGATGTGGTGATGATGGTGTTGATGTCGTGATGATGATGTTGATGTGGTGATGATGGTGTTGATGCTATGATGCTGATGTGGTGATGATGTGGTGATGATGGTATTGATGCTATAATGTTGATGATGTTAATGTGGTGATGATGGTGTTGATGTGGTGATGATGGTGTTGATGCTATAATGTTGATGGTGTTAATGTGATGATGGTGTTGATGCTATGATGTTGATGCTGTGGTGATGATGGTGTTAATGCTATAATGTTGATGCGGTGATGATGGTGTTAATGCTATAATGTTGGTGTTAATGTGGTGATGATGGTGTTAATGCTATGATGTTGATGTGGTGATGATGGTGTTGATGATGGTGTTAATGTGGTGATGATGGTGTCAATGCTATAATGTTGATGGTGTTAATGTGGTGTTGATGGTGTTGATGATGGTGTTTATGTGGTGATGATGGTGTTGATGATGGTGTTAATGTGGTGATGATGGTGTCAATGCTATGTTGATGGTGTTAATGTGGTGATGATGGTGTTGATGATGGTATTAATGTGGTGATGATGGTGTTGATGATGGTGTTAATGTGGTGATGATGGTGTTAATGTGGTGATGATGGTGTCAATGCTATAATGTTGATGGTGTTAATGTGGTGATGATGGTGTTAATGTGGTGATGATGGCGTTAATGTGGTGATGATGGTGTTGTTGATGGTGTTAATGTGGTGATGTTGGTGTTGATGATAGTGTTAATGTGGTGATGATGGTGTTAATGTGGTGATGATGGTGTTGATGATGGTGTTAATGTGGTGATGATGGTGTTGATGATGGTGTTAATGTGGTGATGATGGTGTTAATGTGGTGATGTTGGTGTTGATGATGGTGTTAATGTGGTGATGATGGTGTTGATGATGGTGTTAATGTGGTGATGATGGTGTTAATGTGGTGATGTTGGTGTTGATGATGGTGTTAATGTGGTGATGATGGTGTTGATGATGGTGTTAATGTGGTGATGATGGTGTTAATGTGGTGATGATGATGTTGATGCGTGCAGATTCGCGGACAACGGCATCGGGTTGACCCTGGCGAGGTGAGTGACCCGGACGACGCCACGGCCCGGCCGGTCGGATCGCGTAGCGAAGCGTCGATGAATAACGCGCCATGAAGAAGGGCCATTGCCCCAAGCGTTGCCTCGACATTTGTCCTGCTAAGGGGCCGTCCATAAATGACGTCACGCACCTAGGGAGGGGGTGGGGTGAGACATTTATGACGATGTGTGACGAGGGGGGGGTTTGAGAAATGTGACGTCACATCAAAATGCCAACTTTAAAAAAATATAGACAACACGTTCTACTTAATTAAAGTGTAGCGCCACATTAAATACGCACTACAATGACAATAATTTAAAGCGATTTGAAGCATGTTTTATTTTCAAAATGGAAATATGGTTTTGGGGGGGGGGGGGGGGGCAGAGCCACGAGGAGTCGCTGTGTCCGTGTCGAATCGTGCCGCTCGCGGTCGGACACCCGAGTTCGAACCCCGAGCGCGGCCAACATCGGTGACGAAAGTCCGAGCCGGTCCCGGGCCTCCCCCCCCAGGGTGGACTCGGCTCCAAACGAGCGGCTGGTGCGGCGTGTCGACGTCAGCACTTGGGGGGGCAAAGGCGGTCGGGGCAGGCGTTGGTCCTGACCACGCCACCTCGCTCATACGCGCTGCTCGCGAACAGCACTTGCCCCAACAGCCTACGTGGGCTACGCGCCGGGGCACCTTTGTCTGTGTCTGCGTAGCGGCGGGACGTTCCCGGATGACGAGGGCTCCATGCAGGAGGTGCGCAACTCTCTCTTCGTGGGGGAGAGCGGCAACCTGGGCACCCCGGGGGGGCCCGGGGCGGTCGCCTGGGGCCCGGGGGGCACCGACGGCAAGAACCGCACCCTGCCGCGCGCCAGGCGAGTACCCCCCCATCCCTCACCCCCCACACCTGTCACTCACACCGCCTCCCCCCACCCCCCACACCTGTCACTCACACCGCCTCCCCCCACCCCCCACACCTGTCACCTGTCACTCACACCGCCTCCCCCCACCCCCCACACCTGTCACCTGTCACTCACACCGCATCCCCCCACCCACCACCCCTGTCACTAACACCCCCCCCCCGCAATACCTGTCACCTGTCACTCACACCGCCTCCCCCCACCCCCCACACCTGTCACTCACACTGCCTCCCCCCACCCCCACCCCTCCCACCTGTCACTCACACCGCCTCCCCCCACCCCCCACACCTGTCACTCACACCGCCTCCCCCCACCCCCACCCCTCCCACCTGTCACTCACACCGCCTCCCCCCACCCCTCCCACCTGTCACTCACACCGCCTCCCCCCACCCCCACCCCTCCCACCTGTCACTCACACCGCCTCCCCCCACCCCTCCCACCTGTCACTCACACCGCCTCCCCCCACCCCTCCCACCTGTCACTCACACTGCCTCCCCCCACCCCCACAAATGTCACCTGTCACTCACACCGCCTCCCCCCACCCCCCACACCTGTCACTCACACCGCCTTTCCCCACCCCCCATCCCCCACACCTGTCACTCACACCGCCTCCCCCCACCCCCACCCCTCCCACCTGTCACTCACACCGCCTCCCCCCACCTGTCACTCACACTGCCTCCCCCCACCCCCACAAATGTCACCTGTCACTCACACCGTCTCCCCCCACCCCCCACACCTGTCACTCACACCGCCTTCCCCCACCCCCCATCCCCCACACCTGTCACTCACACCGCCTCCCCCCACCCCTCCCACCTGTCACTCACACCGCCTCCCCCCACCCCTCCCACCTGTCACTCACACCGCCTTCCCCCACCCCCCATCCCCCACACCTGTCACTCACACCGCCTCCCCCCACCCCTCCCACCTGTCACTCACACCGCCTCCCCCCATCCCCCACACCTGTCACTCACACCGTCTCCCCCCACCCCCCACACCTGTCACTCACACCGCCTCCCCCCACACCTGTGACCTGTCACTCACAGCGCCTCCCCCCACCCCCCACCCCCCACACCTGTCACCTGTCACTCACACCGCCTCCCCCCACCCCTCCCACCTGTCACTCACACCGCCTCCCCCCATCCCCCACACCTGTCACTCACACCGTCTCCCCCCACCCCCCACACCTGTCACTCACACCGCCTCCCCCCACACCAGTGACCTGTCACTCACAGCGCCTCCCCCCACCCCCCACCCCCCACACCTGTCACCTGTCACTCACAGCGCCTCCCCCCACCCCCCACCCCCCACACCTGTCACCTGTCACTCACACCGCCTCCCCCCACTCCCTACCCTTGTCACTCACCCCCCCCCCCCGCAATTCCTGCCACCTGTCACTCACGCGATGTGCTGGGCTGCTGTGGTGAGGTGACCCCTCTCTGACCCCTCTCTGACCCCTCTCTGACCCCTCTCTCTGGCCCCTCTCTCTGGCCCCCATCCCCGCGTAGGAACTTCCCGATGCGGGGCCTGCAGGTGTACGACGGCCCCATCCTGGTGCGGGACGTTCTGTTCCGGCGCTTCGCGGCGCTCGGCTCGCGACTCGCCAGCGCCATCGGATTCCGCCTCAACAACTCGTGGCAGAGCTGCCCGCAGAACAACGTCACGGGCGTGCGCTTCGAGGACGTGCCGGTACGCGGGGAGGGGTGCAGCAGGGGTACACGGGGAGGGGTGCAGCAGGGGTACACGGGGAGGGGTGCAGCAGGGGTACGCGGGGAGGGGTGCAGCAGGGGTACACGGGGAGGGGTGCAGGAGGGGTACGCGGGGAGGGGTGCATCAGGGGTACAGGAGGGGTACGCGGGGAGGGGTGCAGGAGGGGTACACGGGGAGGGGTGCAGCAGGGGTACAGGAGGGGTACGCGGGGAGGGGTGCAGGAGGGGTACACGGGGAGGGGTGCAGGAGGGGTACACGGGGAGGGGTGCAGGAGGGGTACACGGGGAGGGGTGCAGGAGGGGTGCAGGAGGGGTACGCGGGGAGGGGTGCAGGAGGGGTACACGGGGAGGGGTGCAGCAGGGGTACACGGGGAGGGGTGCAGGAGGGGTACACGGGGAGGGGTGCAGCAGGGGTACGCGGGGAGGGGTGCAGGAGAGGTACGCGGGGAGGGGTGCAGGAGGGGTACACGGGGAGGGGTGCAGGAGGGGTACGCGGGGAGGGGTGCAGCAGGGGTACACGGGGAGGGGTGCAGGAGAGGTACGCGGGGAGGGGTGCAGGAGGGGTACACGGGGAGGGGTGCAGGAGGGGTACGCGGGGAGGGGTGCAGGAGGGGTACACGGGGAGGGGTGCAGGAGGGGTACGCGGGGAGGGGTGCAGCAGGGGTACACGGGGAGGGGTGCAGGAGAGGTACGCGGGGAGGGGTGCAGGAGGGGTACACGGGGAGGGGTGCAGGAGGGGTACGCGGGGAGGGGTGCAGCAGGGGTACACGGGGAGGGGTGCAGGAGAGGTACGCGGGGAGGGGTGCAGGAGGGGTACACGGGGAGGGGTGCAGGAGGGGTACGCGGGGAGGGGTGCAGGAGGGGTACACGGGGAGGGGTGCAGGAGGGGTACGCGGGGAGGGGTGCAGGAGGGGTCGTGTACTGGGGCGACACACACGGAGAGTGCCCAGCAGCGACTCTGGCGAGACTCCCGCCGTCTCGATCCCCAGTCTGGAGCGGCTTCTGCCACCCCTCACCCCTCCCCTCTACTCCTTCACCTGCCCTGTCCACTGCTCTCACCCCTCCCCCTTCCACTACTCACCTCCCCCTTACTCTCACCCCCTGCTGCTCCAACACCTCTCCTTTCCCTCTGCTCACCACGAACCCTCCTCCCCCCTCTCGTCCCCTCTCCCGTCATCCCCCTCTCATTCTCCCCCCCCCCACCCCCCGTAGCTGTGGAGCCGCGTGTTCTTCGGGCGGCCGGGCCCGTGGTTCCACCGCATGGAGCTGGACGGGGACCGCACGGCCATCTTCCGCGACAGCGACGGATCGGTGAGCGGCTTCCCCGGCGCCTTCCTCCTGCGCCACGACAACTTCCTGCTGCGCAACCCGGACTGCCTCGACGTGCCGGACTGGCGCGCCGCGCTCTGCAGCGGCCGCTACGCGCAGGTCAGCACGGGGGCCCGACCCCCCGCGGGGTGATGGCGGGGGTCAGGGCTCGGGCCGCGCCTGCACGCGTTGGGCGACGAGTCGGGCGTGTGGACGGGCGAGGGGGTCACCCGAGGGGTCACCCGAGGGGTCACCCGAGTGCCCCCGCAACCCCCGTCGCGAGAAGCGCCCCCCTCGGCTTGCTGACCCCGCCGCCATGCACCCCGCAGCTCTACATCCAGGCGCGCAACCCGGCGTGGCTGCGTCTGCGCGTGGTGCGGAACGACTACCCGGGCCGGGGGATGACGCTGGAGGGGGCGCTGAGCCGCGGGGGCCACTACCAGCAGTACCAGCCCGTGGTGGCGCTGCGCCGCGGCTACACGCTGCACTGGGACGGGCCCGCGCCCGAGGAGGTCACCATCTGGCCCATCAACTTCGACAGGTGCCGGCACACGCGACCCGCCGGCCGTAGCCTCACGGCGCCGGCGGAGCCGCTCACACCGCCGGCGTGGACAGGGGGCGGCATCGTGCCGGCTGTCTGGCGCGCCAGGAGATGGGAGTCGGACGGCACCACCCTCGGATCGCGGGCGCACCGTGCGAACCATTGCACCGCGGCACCACATCCACCACATCCACTACACCTCCCACTGTGGTTGTGTTTGGCTACGGATGCTCTGCCTTCTCCAGGCGATGCCAGCGTGCTGGAGAATACGCCCACAACACGGCACACGCACATCAAGTATACCCCCGGCTACAAGTCACGTGCCACGCACTCCAGCCTAGACCAGCGGCGACCCGGGAATAAAATGTTGAGCAAGAACAAAAATGTAAGCCCTCATCTTTGCCGAACGCAAACCACCCTCCCTCGCCCCCCCCCCCCCCCCAGGGCCGAGTGGGTGCTGCTGGCGCTGTGCTACCCGCGCGGCACGGCGTTCAGCGTGGTGCGGGACGTGCACGAGCGGCGAGGGCGCAGCACCAGGAAGGTCGGCGCCTTCTCACGCGCCGCCGCGCTGCACAAGCTCTCCACGCCGGCGCTGCTGCACGGGCGGAGGGACCTCTACTACTGGGATGAGGACGCCGGGTACACGCGGGGGGGGGGGGGTACACGCGGGGGGGGGGGGGGGTACACGTGGGG